AAAGGAAAAGGCCCAATATTACATCCTCCTATCATGCAATAGGACATGTGCATTACCCATTTTAATTTATTTATTTTGGTACAAACACATACCAAAAAGGTTCATTAAATAAAATAAAATGGGTAATGCACACGTATATCTTTTCACATAGAACAGAGAGAACTCCAGTCAAAATATTAGGGGGGAAGGTGATTTTCTAAAATGTGAATGTCTTTCTAACAGAGGTGATTATTAAAAGGAGGCAAAGTATTATAATTATTACTAGGTGACAAAAAGCTTTGAGAACACACACACAGATGCGGGTTTGTTGAGGTTATTTTGGAGGGAAGCGGGGAGTGGCTGTGGAAGGGAGGAGCTGAGAGCAAAGAACAAGCATGGAATTGTTACAGCTCCAAGCCTCCTTCACACAGTTTGGTGTTTTTTTTTTGTTTGTTTTTTTTTTGGCCAAACACACACACTCCTGTTCTCTCCCCTCTTTATTTCTGGCCCAAAGTTCTTCATGGTCTTAACTTTAGAAAAAGGCTCTCTCCGCCTCAAGGTTACTTTACCAACATGACCTTACAAATACGGCATCAATAAGACCTTCAGAAGAGATGCCACCTCAGAGTGCTTTACAACCGGGTATGTTTCCACAGTTTGCACAGTGCATCAATTCTCCAAGAGAGAAACCACGGTCGGCGGCTTCCAGCTCTAGGCTAGGCTGCTCTCCAGTTACCAGGTAACTGACTCAGAATCCTGACGGTTCCCAGGCGCAAACCGGTGGGACGAGGACAGTGTTGGGGAATGCTGATGAAGCCTGTAGCTGCCCTTCAATAATCATGTTTCCTTTGTTCAGTAAAATAGGTCTTTGTTTTTTTAAGGTGGGCACACAGCCAGGTGGAATAAAGACTACATACAATTCCCAGTCATAGTTACAGCTAGGTGTGGCCTTGCGATTATATTCCCAGCCAACCAGACATAATCAGTGGTCGCTCCTAAATGTTTAGCAACCAGTTCTCTTTGGGAGGGAGAAGGGTGATGAGAGCGGCCGGGGTTTGTGGTGTTTGTGTTTGTAGCGTTTGCCAATCACCATGGCACAAATCGTCCCACCACGGGTCATCTCAAGCTTCCACCTGATGGCACAGAATGCGGCGCTGGGAAGAGCTGCAGCTCTCACACGAATGCAGTGAAGTATTATATGTGATTTCTGGGGAAAATCCTGAAAGGAGGAGACCAGCCTTACTGGTGGGGTGTGCCCTCCCCCCCCTCCTCCCTGATGGCCAGAATGTAGACCTTAAGGAGGAAACCCTACAGAGGAAACTGTATCGAGAAATGCAGAGCCACAATGGAGAAGCCTCGGTCCCTGATGCTCAGCTGCTGGGCTGGCCCTGGAACGCTCACCTGCCAACTTCATTTACGCAACAACTGTGAGAACGAACAAACTCCTATCTCGTAAATGCAACTGGTATTTGGACTGCTCCCAATCCCAGTGGAACCTACCACACTGAGGGCACCACGCGTGCTCAATAAGATAAGTAAACCAAGCTAGGGTCATATCTGGTGGGATCACAAAGGATCCACATTTGAAACAACAACAAAAAAGAAATGCCTGAACCTTTCTGGAAGGGACGAAGAGGATGGAGGGAGAATCACATATTGCTGAAGAGAGCAGCCAGAGGAAAAGGGACGAGAAAAGATGGCTCTCACCTCTCCGCACCCCAGTCCCTCCTCTCTGGCCTGCAGACCCAGCACAAACAGTGAGCAATCCCAAGCCAACAAGGTTGCCTCCGCACACCCCAGGGGCTAGCCTCCGCATACAGTCGGCCATAGGGGACGACTCTCCCACTAGGGGCAGTCCAAATCCTCTGCCTGAGAAAGAGAGACTGTTCTCAGACCTCCTTCTTCCAGAGCAGTTTTGCAAGGTCTAGAGGAGAAATGGCATCGGTAGGTCACTCAGGGGACAATCTGAATGGACTTGGGCAGCAGTAGGCAGGGTAGTACACCTGGATTTCTGGAATATATTTGAAACGTATTGCTCAGGCCCAGGCTGGCCTGTTACTGTCTTTGTATTGTACAGTGGGTTCCAGACAAACACTGAATGACTTACTTACAATACAGGTAAAATTTATTACTTGCGAACCCTTCTCAAAAGTTTATATGCAAAGAGAAGATAATAGTGTCACAGGTATATTCTTACTGTGGACGAAAAGGCGGCTCTGCAATAAGCCTGACAGGCTCAGGGGGCCACATGCAGGCCTGACAAGCCCAGTGACCAAAAGTACCTGCACAGGATGGTCCGATCACAAATCCCTAACTGGGTAGGTCACAGCAGGTAGTCCCGTCCCAGGCCTACAGCTTCCTTAGCAAAGGTCAGTCCTCACAAGTGAGCTCTGTCCACTGTTTTTATGCATCCGGGATAACATACCTCTGAAATGTCAGAGTACAGTGGGGCCTTGACTTGCGAGTTTAATTCGTTCTGAGACCGAGCACGTTAAGGAGCTCGTTAACTCAAATTACTCTATCAACTCAATGCAAAAAATCCGCAGAGAGACAGTTGGTATCTCAAAAAACTCGTTAGTCGGGACATTCGTAAGTCAAGGCCCCATTGTTATTTTCTTTTCTTACCCCTCAAAGGCACAGCCATCGGCACCAGAGCACCAGACCACAGAACTCTCACTGTTATCTCATTCCCTGCATACCATCTGTATGTGCCGTAAATGTTCATTATTGACTATCCTGCACCCACCAATGCAAAAGTATGTGTTTCTCCTGGCCCTGAATCTACTTCCAATGGATTTCATGCACCTTCCTTAGATCTCCTTTGATTCTTTTTTTTTAATTAATTTTTTTAGAGACAGAAAGAGAGGAAGGGAGGGAGGGAGGCAAGGAGGGAAGGAAAGAGAAAGAGGAGGAAGTAGAGAGAGGGAGAGAAACATCAACCCATTGTTCTGATCATCCACGCATTCATTGGTTGATCCTTATATGTGCCCTGACCAGAGATCGAACCTGCAACCTTGGTATATCAGGACAACACTCTAACTGCACTAACTGGCCAGGACAAATCTCCTTTGATTGTAATGCATACAATAAACTGCAAGAGCGCCATTCTCCAGACCAGCTGAGATCTTGCTCCCCGGCATCTGTTGTCAGCTTGGCAAAAATAAGCTCATAAAAATTCTCTACAGGTTTGGGCTTTTCCTGACTCAGCCACCTTTATCAAACTTCAGAACAGTCTCTCTAGGGAACAGGTGTGCACATGTCCCGCAAGCAGCTCAGCAATGCTGAGCATCTGAGTGCATGGCTAGCCCACTCTGCGGGGATCCAAAAGGAAGTTTTCTATTCGCTCTCCACCTGACGAGTCTCTGACTGCATTTATTCCACTTCAGACTGAAGGACTCTTGTACAATCTGCATGACTTCCAATCTCTCCTTCCCAACCATACCCACCTCCCTCCCAACACTGGAGATGCTAAGAACCTGCCCTGAGTTGGAGGGGCAAGGAGGGGGCACTCTCGGTGACAACAGGGAGGGGGGAGGGAGGGGGCGGGAAGGAGGGGCAGAGTGACAAGCACAAGTCAGCAAGAGGAAGCAGCCTGCCCAGTGCACACATGATAAGCACCTGTGCCTGAGAGGTTCTGAAAGCAACTAAACAAAGCACAGTCTAGTTCTAAGATAAAAACAAAGCAGAAAGGAAACTTTCATTCACATCCCCTCAAGTCTCCTGTCGCTAGCTCACCTCACAGGGCCAAGAATCTTTTCAAATATCCGCAGATACTTGCTGTAAATGTCTGAGGAATGATCATCATCACTTGTAAATCAGAAATCTAGGCACTAGATAAATCCATCTAAGTCACATCCACAAACACATACAGTTGTCTGCCTAGCCTCAGTTTCTCCAGTTAAAATGGAGATCATCAAGGATACTTTTCAGGGTGGTGGTAAAAATTAGAGAGAATTGACATAAAGCACAGACGGATGCCCAAGGGCTGCACACACACAAAAATATTCTACAAATGAGAGCTATCTAAACTTTAGGTGAGAAGAGAATATATATGGTTGTTGTTGATAGACAATCAAAAACTGAAATTGAGATAGTTTGATGGCATCGTTTTAAATGATAATTAGTACAAACTGAAATGAACCAGCATATAAGACACAATCCATAGACCAATAATCTGGGCCCCCAGCAGAGGCAAGTGAGATGAACTCAGTCAAAATCTAGCATTGTTCCTCCCTCTCTGTTATGTAAATTCTATTTCATTTTCACACCTCTGTCCACTAACCCATTTCTGCACCACCCCCGTCCCCAATAACACTTCCGTTCTCTTGTGCAAGAAGGAAAATTCTGCATTCTACTTTTTAATGGAGGTCAGACCATTACAGACTACCCATATCATCCCTCTGTAGCTTAAAACTTTGTGAAATAAGTCTACCTCTATAAATTCAACAGGCAATTCAATTTCTAGGGGGTGAACTTGACATCAAAATTTTCTAAAAGCTAAATTACCATGTGTAGTCAGAAAGTGTGTATCTAAGCAAGCTGTCTGCTTACCTCAAATATAATTCTGAATACAAGGAAGAGAGCTGCTTCTGAAATCCAATATTCAAATGAAACAGAAAGGATCCTTATGGACAGTTTAGAAAATGTATGGGAAGGTGTGGGAACCAGCCCCAGAGGGAGGCTGTGAGCTGATTAACAGGGGATGAGAATTAATTCTTCAGTAACAAGTTAGAAAAAAAGAATGTGGGTGAAAAACGTCCCGACTTTGCACTAGTATTACCCATCTCAAACCTTCTGCAAGGGTTTGAGCCAGCCAATTACATTACAAAGCTTCTAAATTAATTTTGTAGTTTGTTTATTTCAAGTGTTGTTTGTTTATTCAAGAAATAACTACTAGATGTTTTAGTTAAGTACCAATGCTGTGGAATTTTTCCAAGTGATGACATTTTACATCGGGATGCATGTTTTGAACCACTTCAGCTAAAACTAAAAGTCAAACAGAGGCAAGGAAATGAACTCACTTGTCAAACTCATCAAAGAGGTCACAGCTCTGCAGCTTTGAAAGAGCAAGTCGAAAATATTCCGCTAGAAAACAAATGGAATACTGTGAGTGAAAGGAATCGTGGCTTCTTGGGTACATAGTAAGCCACCTTTAACCCCACTCGTCCCACAAAGCCATTACATCTGGTGTGGCTACATTTGATTTCTTCTGAGATGAAGATTCATGATACAACTGCATTTAGCCAGCACTACGTAATAGACACATCACAATGGTCGATGCTCTAAGGACACGTTCCAAAAACCCCAGAAAAATAAGGGGCTTAGTGGGAAAACAATCATAAAAAGTAATCCCCAAATTAGCAGAATCAGATAATTCTGAAACTAAAATCTGTATAGAAATCAATATGCAGCAAGTTTAACCTTATTGAATTACCATTTCTCTTCAATACCTTTTAAAACATACACACACACACACACACACACACACACAATCAATCAATCAATAAGCAAAATCTAAGTCAGAAAACTGTAGGCTTGCCACCTTCTGGGCTTTTAGGGTCTCCCCAAAATGGAGAACATAAAGTTGTGCAAGCTAATCAGGTTTCAAGCAGAGGGGAAAGTTTGTCATTATTAGTGGATGGAATATTTCTCTCTAAATTTAGCAAAAATAAAACATCCACTGATTAAATTTTAAACTTTTAATCTAGCTCCTCAGTCAAGGAGCTAGAACTTGATGAAATAAAAGAAAACTCACAAGTAAAGAGGTGAAATGGGAGATTGGGAGGAAGTTAACACACAGGGTTATCCTGCTAATTCTAATTGGAATAAGGTAAGGCATCAGGACTCATTAACAATATGGTGGTAAAACAAAAGTATAAAGCAGTGTCTTAACAACAACAATAAAAATCTACCCTTTTTAATCCTCTTATTCTATCCTGCCTCCAAAGGAGTTATATACTAAAATGGATGCCCTCTTCCCATCCCAAAATTATATTCTTTAGAAATCATTATGAAGCAGAAAGATGAAAAGGCCTTATTTTTATATAAACATGCAGTTCACATCAAACACCACTCATATTTAATAGGGCAAGATAAGAATAACATTACTGACCTGATGTCCTTATCCCATAGGGCAAATCAAACTTATCGCTACCATACAAGGAAGCAAGCTTTTTAAAATCAGCTGCACAAAGAAAAGGGTGAAACTGGTGAAACCTGGAAGATAAGGATAAGAAATGATTTTCACAAGTGCACATGACACTTGTAGGCTTTTGAAGTCACAAATGAAAATAACTGTAGCATATTACTCATATTGTTTTATTGACTATATAAATGTATAATTATTTTGAAATTATCTAAAATCACCTTAAGTAGTATTTAAATAGTACATAGAACAGGATATGCAAAGGAACTACATGATCAGCATGGAAACACTTTCCAGGTAGTGGAATCAAAACTATGTAACAGCTAAGGGGGCAGGGCTCGGGGAAACAAAATTTTAAAACAAACCAACACCAAGTGATAAAATATTAGCTGCCATATACAGAAAGAAACAAAGGAACTAATAAGGGAAAATAAAAATATTGATGCCAACCTATTCCCAAATGTAAAGGCACTGTATGTATGAATGTGTCAACCGTGAAAATAAAGCACACATTAAAATTAGATATAGCTAGAACTAAATTCCTGATGTCATTAAATTAAGATTTACTCAAGAACAAGAACCATGGGCATTTTTCTTTTTATTGCCTGTCTCTCCAGGTGCTCTCTCAAACAAAAGAAGTTTGATGGGAGTAGGAGGTGCCCCTGCTTTTTCTCACTTTTAGTGCCTGGCAGAGTCGGCAGACAACATACATTTAATAAATGAATGAATGAATTCAAACTCTAAACTAATTCTTTACACAACCATTATCTAATAGAAAAATATTTTTTTTAATTAAAGAAAAGGAATAGGTGACACTCATATTAAAATACTATTTTTATCTACCAGAAGGACTGAATGCTACAGAGCAAATCAAGCTAATCCTCCCCCCAGTCCCCACACAGAACCCCCTCTTCTCAGACTCATCACCTTTGCTTTCTCTTAGTCTAAAAACTACAGGTGGAGACCAGACTGCCCCTTATATTTCAGAGGCTACATGACAGAATAGAGTAGGGGTGAACCGGCTTCAGTTTTATCCGGGCTTTGCCACTCATGAGCCACTAACATTTTTCAGAACTGAGCTAAAACCTCACATGTACTCAAACTAAGGAAACAGGTGGAAGACCATCCCTTCCTGCTTTACACATGATGTGTTTCCCAGATTTAGTTGTCATAGTGATAGCAGCCTTGCAGGTCCAGCCAATCTTGAAAGGTCCTATGAACACCGGGATGGATGCCCAAGTTCAGGATCTGCTCAGAGAAGATGAAGTGTCAGGTCACCTGACTTACGATTGAGAGGAGACACAAGATCTTCCCAACTTGGGAAAGTGAACCACAGATGACTTTGCATCCAGACAGCAAGGCAATAAAGGACTCTATTCTTTGGAGTCAGTAGGGGTGATGATATGATGACCAATGACTAATGTCTATTGCCAGTCAAACTTTGTGCTAGATGGCTTACATTTTATTTCTAAATGAAATAATAGGGGAAAATATCTTTCAGGCAAATGGAAATGAAAAAAAAGCTGGAGTAGCAATACTTATATCTGACAAAATAGACCTCAAAGTGAAGGCCATAACAAGAGATAAGGAAGGCCACTTCATAATATTAAAGGGATCAATACAACAAGAGGATATAACCCTGATAAACATATATGCACCCAATGCAGGAGCACCCACATACATAAAAAAAAAACTCCTGGAAAATATCAAGGGAGAGATCGACAACAATACAATCACAGTAGGGGACTTTAATACACCACTGACATCACTGGATAAATCCTCTAGACAAAAAATCAGCAAAGAAACAGCAATCCTAAATGACTCACTAGATCAAATGGACTTAACTGACATCTTCAGAACATTTCACCCCAAAGCCACGGAATATTCATTCTTCTCAAGTGCACATGGGACACTTTCAAAAATAGACCACATATTGGGTAACAAGCAAAGTCTTCCAAAATTGAAGAAGATTGAAATCATATCAAGCATTTTCTCAGACCACAATTGCATAATATTAGAAATAAACTACAATAAAAACAATCCAAAAAATTTAAACACTTGGAAGCTGAAAAGCATGCTATTAAACAATGACTGGGTTACCAAAGAGATCAAAGAAAAAATTTAAAACATCCTAGGCACTAATGACAATAAAAACACAACAGTCCAAAATCTATGGGACACAATGAAAGCAGACCTGAGAGGGCAGTTTATAGCTCTACAGGCCTACCTCAATAAAACAAGAAAAAATGGTAGTAAATCATCTAACTCTTCAACTCAAAGAATTAGAAAGAGAGCAACAAGAAAAACCCACAGTATTCAGAACAGCAGTTCTCAACCTGTGGATCGCGACCCCTTTGGGGGTCGAACGACCCTTTCACAGGGGTTGCCTAAATACATCCTGTATATCAGATATTTACATTACGATTCATAACAGTAGCAAAATTACAGTTAAGAAGTAGCAATGAAAATAATTTTATGGTTGGGGGTCACCACAATATGAGGAACTGTATTAAAAGGTCAGGGCATTAGGAAGGTTGAGAACCACTGATCCAGAAGGAAGGAGATAATAAAGATTAGAGCAGAAATGAACGACATAGAGACCAAAAAAAAAAAATAAAACAATCCAGAAGATCAATGAAAGCAAGAGCTGGTTCTTTGAAAGGATAAACAAGATTGATGAACCTCTAGCCAGGCTCACCAAGAAGCAAAGAGAGAGGACCCAAAAAAACAAACTCAGAAATGAAAGAGGCGAAATAACAACAGACCCCACAGAAATGCAAAGGATTGTTAAAAAATACTATGGACAACTCTATTCTAACAAACTAGACAACCTGGAGGAAATGGACATATTCCTAGAAAAATACAACCTTCCAAAACTCAATCAGGAAGATTCTAAAAGTCTCAATAGGCCGATAACTATAGAAGAAATTGAAGCAGTCATCAAAAAGCTTCCAACAAACAAAAGCCTGGGGCCAGACGGCTTCACAGGGGAGTTTTACCAAACAAGAACTAAAACCAGGCTATTACAAAAAATTCAAGAGGAAGGAACACTTCCAACCACATTTTATGAAGCCAGCATCACCCTAATACCAAAACCAGATAAAGACAACACAATGAAAGAGAATTACAGGCCAATATCCCTCATTAACATAGATGCCAAAATCCTCAACAAAATTCTAGTAAATCAGATCCAGCAGTACATCAGAAAGATCATACACCATGACCAAGTAGGATTTATCCCAGGGATGCAAGGATGGTTCAATATCTGCAAATCAATAAATGTGATACATCACACAAACAAACTGAGAGACAAAAATCACATAATCATATCAATTGATGCAGAAAAAGCGTTTGACAAAATCCAACACCCTTTCTTGTGGGAATAGAGGGATAATACCTCAACATAATAAAAGCTTTATATGACAAACCCACAGCCAACATCATACTCAATGGACAAAAACTAAAACCATTTCCCCTAAGAACAGGAACAAGACAGGGATGCCCAGTCTCACCACTCCTGTTCGACATAGAACCTGAAGTATTAGCCATAGTGATCAGACAAGAAGAAAAAAATAAAAGGCATCCAAATTGGAAAAGAAGAGGTAAAACTGTCCTTATTTGCAGACGTGATATTATACATAGAAAACCCCAAAGACTCCATCAAAAAACTACTAGACCTAATAAATGAATTTGGCAATGTAGCAGGATACAAAATTAACACCAGAAATCTATGGCATTTTTATACACCAATAATGAACTCACAGAAAGAGAAATGAAAAACAATCCCATTTACCACTGCAACAAAAAAATTAAGATATCTAGGAATAAACTTAACCAAGGACGTAAAAGACCTGTACTTGGAAAATTACAGGACATTTAAAAAAGAGATAGAGGAAGACATAAACAAATGGAAGAACATACCATGTTCATGGATTGGTAGAATCAACATCATTAAAATGTCCATACTACCTAAAGCAATCTATAGATTCAATGCAATACCTATTAAAATACCAATAGCATATTTCAAAGATCTAGAACAAACTCTCCAAACCTTCATCTGGAATAAAAAAACAACAACCCTGAATAGCCACAGCTATCCTGAGAAAGAAGAACAAAGTTGGAGGGATCACAATACCAGACATCAAACTATATTACCAAGCCACAGTTCTCAAAACTGCCTGGTACTGGCACAAGAACAGACATATAGACCAATGGAACAGAACAGAGGACCCAGAAATTGGCCCAAGCCATTATACTCAATTAATATTCAACAAAGAAGGCAAGAGCATATATTGGAGTCAAAACAGCCTCTTTAATAAATGGTGCTGGGAAATTTGGTCAGATACATGCAAAAAAGTGAAACTAGATCACCAACTTATACCACACAAAAACAAACTCAAAATGGCAAAGGACTTGAATGTAAGACGAGAAACCATAAAAATCCTACAAGACTCCATAGGCAGCAAAATTGCAGATATATGTCGTAGCAATATTTTTACTGATAAAGCTCCTAAAGAAATGGAAATCAAGGAGAAAATAAATAAATGGACTACATAAAAATAAAACGCTTCTGCCCTGACCGGTTTGGCTCAGTGGATAGAACGTCGGCCTGCAGACTCAAGGGTCCCAGGTTCAATTCCGGTCAAGGGCATGTACTTTGGTTGCGGGCACATCCCCAGTGGGGAGTGTGCAGGAGGCAGCTGAACCAATGTTTCTCTCTCATCGATGTTTCTAACTCTCTATCCCTCTCCTTCTCCCTTCCTCTCTGTAAAAATTCAATAAAATATATTTAAGAAAAAAAATAATAAAACGCTTCTGCACAGCAAAAGAAACTATCAACAAAACAAAAAGAAAGACCACTGCATGGGAGAATATATTTGCCAATGCTATTTCAGATCAGGGTTTAATCTACAAAATTTACAGGGAACTCATACAACTTAACAAAAGGAAGATAAACAATCAAATCAAAAAATGGGCAAAGGACCTCAATAGACACTTTTTGAAAGAAGACATACAGAAGGCCAAGAGACATATGAAAATATGCTCAAAGTCACTAATCATCAGAGAGATGCAAATCAAAATGACAATGAGGTTCCATCTCACACCTGTCAGAATAGCTATCATCAACAAATCAACAAATGACAGTGCTTAGGACGATGTGGAGAAAAAGGAGCCTTCTTGCACTGCTGGTGGGAATGCAAACTGTTTCAGCCACTGTGGAAAACAGTATGGAGTTTCCTCAAAAAATTAAAAATGGAACTCCCATTTGACCCAGTAACCTCACTTCTAGGAATATATCCCAAGAAATCAGAAACACCAATCAGAAAGGGTATATGCACCCCTATGTTCATAGCAACACAATTTACCCTAGCTAAGATTTGGAAACAGCCTAAGTATCCATCAGCAGATGAGTGGATTAAAAAACTATGGTACAATGGAATACTATGCTGCTGTAAAAAAGAAAGAACTCTTACCATTTGCAACAGCATGGATGGACATGGACAGCATTATGCTAAGCAAAATAAGCCAGTTGGAGAAAGATAAATATCACATGATCTCACTCATATGTGGAATATAATGAACAACATAAACTGATAAATCAAAATAGAGCCAGATTAAAAAAAAAAAGTATTTTAGAAGTAATCCTGTTATTTGCAGATTTTTAATATTTCCTACAACTTTTGTGATATTACACTATATTAGTACAGTTTTGGTAATATTATATTTAAAATATTTTTTGTTGAAATATTAATTTCTATTGCATATATTTAAAATAGTTTTTCTTGAAATATTAATGTTTATTGCATGTAAGGTTATTATATTTAAAATCATTTTTCTTAAAAAAAATTCTCAGCTAAAAAAAGAAACCTTTTAATAAAAATTTTGTAACTTAAATCTTACAATATCCTGTTATACATAATTATTTACAAACTACAACATTCGCTAATGACTGATTACTATAATTGCATTGCATTCATTTCCCTTACATGCCTTAAGTGCAGGCACACCATTTCTTGCCACTGATACTAGCAACGAAGATTTTAGCATCCAATTGCCACGTCATTAGTCTTGAACTCACTTGTTTGGTGCACACAACAGGAAATATTTCGCTTTTGGAGAACAAGAAAAATAGGTTTATTTGTGTTATGCTTATTAATTTGTGCAGTTATCCAGTGTCTGGTAAGTTAATGTTCAAGAAAAATATTAATTTTTATTAAAATTTTCTATTATTTTATGTTAAGGATTGCTCATTTATTTCAGCCCTTTGTATTCAGCATGTCTCTATTGAAATAAATCTACCTTTCTCTGAAAATTGAAGCTTTTTTTTTGTGGCCCACATAAACTTAAACCTTGCTTATTTGGCCTGTGTTAGCCTTTGAGTTTGACATGCTTGTAGTACATTGTATTATATTACTGTGTATTATATTATAATTAGAGGCCCGGTGCACAAAAATTTGTGCACTTGGGGGGGGGGGGTCCCTCAGCCCGGCCTGTGCTCTCTCGCAGTCTGGGACCCCTTGGGGGATGTCCATCTGCTGGCTTACGTCTGCTCCCTGGGGGATTGGTCTAAGCTGGCAGTCAGAAATCCCTCTGGCAGCCCAGGAGCCCTCAGGGGATGCCCACTTGCCGGCGGGGAGCAGGCCTAAACTGCAGTTGGACATCCTTAGCTCTGCTGAGGAGGTGGGAGAGGCTCCCGCCACCACCGCTGTCCTGGCAGCCATCAGCCTGGCTTGTTGCTGAGCAGAGCTCCCCCTGTGGGAGTGCACTGACCACCAAGGGACAGCTCTGCATTGAGCGTCTGCCCCTGGTGGTGAGTGTGTGTCATAGTGACCAGTCGTTCTGCTGTTAGGGTCAATTTGTATATTACCCTTTTATTATATAGGATAGAGGCCTGGTGCACGGGTGGGGGCCGGCTGGTTTTCCCTGAAGGGTGTCCCGGATCAGGGTGGGGGTCCCGCTTGGGTGCCTGGCCAGCCTGGGTGAGGGGCTGAGGGCCGTTTTCAGGCTGGCCACACCCCCTTCAGGATGGGGGTCCCCACTGGGGTGCCTGGCCAGCCTGGGTGAGGGGCTGATGACTTTTTCCAGGCTGACCAAGCCCCCCAGCGGGGACTCTCACCCCATGGGGGTGTGGCCAGCCTGGGTGAGGGGCGGAGGGCCATTTTCAGGCTGGCCACACACCCCCGACGACCCAAGCTCCCAGCCTCTCCTTTTTTCTTTTTCTTTTTTTTCCTGGGATTTCTTTATTTTTTATAATTGAAACTTTGTAGCCTTGATTGGAGCCCAGGTCCCATCAGGGCAGGCAGGAAGCTTGGCTTCCTCCATCACCAGGGGCAACCCAAGCCTCCTGCTCGCTCCAGCTCCGTGGCCACTGCCATCTTAGTTGTGTTAATTTGCATAACTGCTCCTGATTGGCTGGTGGGCATGGCTTGTGGGTGTGGCTTGAGCATAGCAGAGGGACAGTTAATTTGCATGTTTCTCTTTTATTATATAGGATGTATCGTATTACATTACATTTCTGCTATTGTTACATCTACGAACGAACACTTGGAGAGGTCAGTAAAGTCTATGAGTCAGTTTAGACAGAAACTGAAGCTATGAGAAGTGAAGTAACTAGACAGTATTACGGCGGTCACTGACCCATATCTGACAAAAGCTGAAATCCACATTAAGTGTTTACAGCACTGCAGGCAACACCTCCAGGTTTCTTTCCTAGCAGAGCTGCTCCTGATTTCTCCTTGCAGAGGAGTTTGCACCACCCCCAGAGAGTACAACTCACAGGACAAATGCCAAGTCTACTTGTCCATTAGACTGCAGACTTCTGCACCTACTGAGCAAAGCTTCATAAATACTTTAACCCCTTAGGGTTTTCTCAGGAAGGAAATAAAGTTGAAGAATACCTTGATTCTAGAGTAGCATTTTAAAGCTTCAGTCTGCAGCCCACAGGTGGTTCATGAAATCAATTTTATGACTCATGATCAACAGTTTTTTACTGATTTCACAGAGGAAGGGAGAGAGAGAGAGACAGAGATAGAAACATCAATGATGAGAGAGAATCATTGATAGGCTGCCTCCTTCATGCCCACTTCTGGGGATGGAGCCCGCATCCCCGAGATTTGCCCTAACTGGGAATCGAACTATGACCTCCTGGTTCATAGGTCAAACACTTAAATATTAAATAGTCTCTTTATTATTTTTTTAAGTAAGTAGAACAGAATACAGGGCATCTTGAGTAAGAAAGGTAAAAATTCTTTCTTCTCATTGTAAATATGCATGTATACTAAATTATAAAAGTAAAATGTACTTTTTCCTATGGGTCATGGTCAAAAAAGTATAAGATCTCTCTTCAAGTCTTTCAGTGGCCCTAACCAGACATCCCCCATGGACAGACTACAAGCAGTGGTAGCTCACCTATAACCATATGCAGAAATAGTTTATATATCTGCAGGTTTCCAGAGAGTTGGTTGATTTTAATGGGATCTGCAGCTTCCAAAAGGTAAAGAACTAGTATTGGAAAGGTGCAATAATATAATAAAACAAAATAAAAATAGAAAATGTGACTTTTATCTTTAATAGGTAATATGTTAAAAAAAAACACCTCATGCCTGTTTTATACAATTAATCATGCCCAGACTAGATAATTATTATCTAGAATCATCTTGACTAACCTGTTAAAATTGAGGTGACAGAGGCAAAAATTATTTGTGGATAGAAGAGTAAATTCCCTACAAGTCCTGACAGCCATAATGAACAATCATTATTACATTCTATATAGATGAATGTGTAGTAGTTCATTAATAGTCAGTGAAAGTTTTAACTGAAAAACTTAACCTAGAGGTGAGGGGAAAGAAGCCACAAATAAGGATGGAAAATAACATGGGGACACAAGGTGGGGGGATAAAACCTTAAAACACAGTTCACTTTTCCATGATCAAAACAAACAGACCTCCCTAATCTCACCTGTGTGAAAGCAACACTGGTCTGACTTTTCCTAAAATGTATGACTAAGCACAAAAGGAGACGGGAGATTCAAGCTCTTCCTTAAATGTAGGGTGTCCACGTTAAATCGCTAAGCTTTGTGTGGGAAGGAAGTAAGCCAGTGTAACTGGAAATGATTGCAAATGCATGCCAAACACTTTGCATGCCACAGTTTCTTTCATGGGTTTACCTCAGGAGAGAGGCAAATGCTGGCTTTGATGAACACAGCTGGACCTTATTTCTTCGTTTCATTTCCACAGGTGGCATCCTGCAAGACAGAAAGCATCGGTCAGAAAGCAGAGCCAGGCAGCAGGCCTAGAGGGAAGCAAACGGCCTGGGAGCTCGGTGCCACTACTGAGCCGCCTCTCAGGCAGGAAATAAATGTCCTCACAGCAGCCCCGAGCTATGACAGCATCTCCTCCAAGTCCTGTGCACATGTGAAGATTTCTGGATGCAAGGCAAGGGAGATGGGAAAGGCAAGGTACTGAGCGGCACAAGGTGAATTGAAGGGCACTCTAGAAGGGCTTGGATTACTGTGCTGGGGAAGCCACAATCTGGCTCTTTTCAGACGTCCCCCAATGCCTGAGAAACCTAATTGACCCTCAGTGCACACGGCTATCTGGGTCCTCCCTGCCACACCTGGGGACGCTGGCCAGCAGCGACCAGCAGCTGCCACAGAAACAATGACCTGAGCGGGTGGCACTCGCCTGCCTCGTGATCTGGTGACTCCACAGGTCACACTGCTTAGAGTCACGTCTAACGCGCCTCTGTGCTTGGCACAGGTGAGCCTGTGTGTCTCCTGAATGGAGCACTTGTCTCCACAATTTGAAAGGGCATTGTGAGAGGCAGAGAAAACAAAAATAAAGGAAGGGGATAGGGTGGCAGGTGCCAGGCTTCATCAGGAGAGCAGTAAACAGCTTAATACAAAAACATTCGTGGTCATCCATTGTGATGAATTAATCCTGCGGTCGGCAAACTGCGGCTCTTGAGCCACACGCAGCTCTTTGGCCCCTTGAGTGTGGCTCTTCCTAAGCCTTAGGAGTACCCTAATTAAGTTAATAACAATGTACCTACCTATATAGTTTAAGTTTAAAAAATTTGGCTCTCAAATTTCAATCGTTGTACTGTTGATATTTGGCTCTGTTGACTAATGAGTTTGCCGACCACTGTCCTATACTGACCTCCTGAAAGACACCCTGAGAAGGCAGGCTAGAAGTGACTCATTTAAGGCTACTAGGGGTTGGTTTGATAAATTTAAGAAAAGAGGTATTTGTATATAAGGAAGATTAAAACAGGGAATTATGTGGGGGGTCTGCACCCAATTAATTCAATTTACATTCTTTCTACTGGGAAAAAAATGATTCAGTTTCGAACAAATTGCTTCTTGAACAGATTTCCAGAATGAGTTAAGTTTGAGAACCAAGGTTCCACTGTAGTTTTTAAGGGAGCAAGTTCACAGCAATACCTATTTGAGGTAATTTCCTACTATGCTTTCTGTGACTGGAGTAAAGCATTAACTCAGGAGTGACATGAACATTCCTCAAATCCTGATGACAAAAGACTGTGCTGGCCCTAGCTGGGTAGCTCAGTTGGTTAGAGCATCATCCAGATGTGCCAAGGTTACAGGTTTGATCACCCGTCAGGGCACATACAAGAATCAACCAATGGACCCTGAAGAATTATGCCACACTATTCTGCTCTCTGAGATCTTCTGAGGAAGTGACATTTAAGGAAATCTTACTGAGGATCACTGAAGAGGACTCTAGAAGCTGAAAAGGTTGATATTCACAGAAGGTTTTGTAAAAGCAATACAACAGCGGGTGACACAGTTCGCAGCCGAGAAAGGCAGAGGACGCCTGGAGAATGGTAAGATCAGGATGTGGGCTGAAGAGAGTCTCCTGAGCACCGGGACGAGAGGGTTAGAAGGAACCTGCGCTGCACCAAGTCCGCGTCCCTTGAGGACAGGTGTAAAACCTGACTGTGGAAAGGAAGTCCACAGGGCTGATGGTGGCAGGGGATTCTAGATCTAAGTCCATATCTGCGAGAGGCTGAGCCCAGAGGGGTGGCCTGAACAACTGCCAGAGCCATGCAGTGCCAGGGGGCTATAAACTAGCAGTCGTGCAGTTGTTTTGCCTCTGTTTGGTCTTTGCTTTTATTCGCTAAACCCAGTTCATAGGACCTTTCACATGCAAACACTCACCTGTGACTGTGGTTCAGGTGGAGGTGTGGACTTGTGGAATCTGGGGAAAGGCTGAGGAGGAGAGCTGGTCAGGGAGAGGTAACCAGGAGTCTGGCACTGGGACATTCCTGACCCTCTGGACCTAAGCAGCCATTTTTCTCCTGAAAAGTCAGGCCCTCCCAGAAGCCTCAAGGGAAAAAATACAGCCACACTGAGACTAAACCCTGAGCAGAACAAAGGACACAAAAAATCTGAATAGCCCTGAAGAGCCCTCAGGGACTGGGCTGAAGAGAGGTCTTTCAGTCCCAGAAAGCAATACAATACCTTCCCTACCTATAGCTCTGTCAGAATCAGCCACTTGAGAGATTATGATAGACAGCAGGGAGACAGGCTAAGTGGGCAGATTGGTCCCACCTGCTTGCAGGCAAGACTGTGGAAATTGACACAAAGAGAGGAGCAGTGGATCACTTGGAACTTCAACATGGTGCTGACTACCTAACAGGAAACTGATAACTGACAGACAGAACAGAAGAATGGGATCTTAAACCAGCCCCCATGGGGCATTAAAACTTGGCTGAAACAAATGACACTTCACTTTTTCATTTTATTTTATTTTTTCTTTATCTTTTATTTAAAATTTTTTTCTTCTTTACTTTCTTAGTTTATTATTTTTTACTTTTTTCACATTATTTTTTCTTCATTCTATTTTTATTTTTCTAGGTATTTGTTATTTGCATTTTTTGGTTTATGTGTTTGTTCTGTGGTGTTTTCTATCCATATACTTTTTCTTCCTTTTCCTTCTTTCTCTTTTCTCTTTTTTTTCTTCTTTTTTCCATATCATTTTTGCTCTCTTTTTGCTCTTTTAATTCTTTTCTCTGGTCACTTATAGTGGGGTTATTGGTCGTGAGTATACTCGTGTTTTGTTCCCTTTGTGTCGTGTCTTGTTGAGTTGCATTTTGTGCTGTTTGGTCAATGTGGTAGAGAGCAAGCCACACAACCAGACATCCTGAGAGGACTCTCCATCCACAAACAGGACAATAACAATCAAGACCCAACTACACAAAGAGAACCCAAATATCCCAAGAAGGGGGCATCCCTAGAATACCCATCCTAGAAGACCAGAGAGATTACATCACTGGGTCCCACAAAATATCTACTATATAACAAAAACTCAAAAAATCTGGGTGGTATAGCAGTTTGATCTAATACATAGAAACAATCACAAAGGAACAGCAAAAATGGGGAGACAAAGAAACAACCCCCATTGCAAGAAAAGAAGTAATCACAGAAAAGGAAATAAACAAAATGGAGGCAAGCAATTTATCAGGGAAAGAATTCAGAGCAATGGTTATAAGGACACTGAAAAGGATGGAAGACAAATTCAATAGCATGTGTAAGAATCAAGAGAAAATGAAGAATCAAGAGGAAATGAAGAATGGCATAGCCACAATAAAGAACACAATAGAAAGCATCAACAGTAGACTAGAAGAAGCTAAGGACTGCATCAGTGAGTAAGAAGACAAGGTACAAAACACCACCCAAGCACAGGAGGAACTGGAAAGAAAACGTAAAAAGTAGGAGGAGAGCCTAAGGGAGCTTTGGGACAACAGGAAATGAAACAACATCAGCATAATAGGGTTTCCAAAAGGAGAGGAAGCAGAGCAAAGAATAGAAAACCTGTTTGAAGAAATAATGACAGAAAATGTCCCTAATATTGAGAAGAAAAAAGCCACACAAGTCTAAGAAGAACCCCAAAAGACCGAAACAAGACATATCATAATTAAACTGACAAACATCAGTGACAAAGTGAGAATCTTAAAGGCTGCCAGATAGAGACAGAAAGTTATCTACAAGGGATCTCCCATTAGAATATCAACTGATTTCTCAACAGAAACACAACAAGCCAAAAGGAATGGAATGAAATATACAAAGTGATGCAAAGCAAGGGATTTAATCCAAGAATTAGTGTCCAAAAATGGGCAAAGTGAGTTTATTACCATCAAGGAAGCAATGCAAGAAATGCTAAAGGGACTACTGTAAAAAGAAGAAATCTAGGGAAGAAGGAACACAGGCATAAAGAATGAAAATGGTGACAAACAAGTACCTATCAATAATAACCTTAAATGTAAATGGATTAAATGCTCCAATCAAAAGACCTAGGGTAGCTGAATGGATAAGAAAACATGACCCATATATTTGCTGTCTACAAAAGACTCACTTCAGAACAAAGGACTCACACAGACTGATAGTGAAGAGATGGGAAAAACTTTTTCAGGCAAATGGAAATGAAAAAAAAAAGCTGGGGTAGCAATACTTATATCTGACAAAATAGACCTGAAAGTGAAGGACATAACAATAGATAAGGAGGGCCACTTCATAATACTAAAGGGATCGATACAATAAGAGGATATAACTCTGGTAAACATATGTACATGCACCCAATACAGGAGCACCCAAATATATAAAAAAAATTCTGGAAGATATCAAGGGATAGATCTACAGCAATACAATCACAGTAGGGGACTTTAATACTCCATTGACACCACTGGATAATCCTCTAAACAAAAAATCAGCAAAGAAACAGCAATCCTAAATGCCTCATTAGATCAGATGAAATTGACATCGTCAGAACACTTCACCCCAAAGCTACAGAATGTATATTCTTCTCAAGTGCACATGGGACATTTTCAAGATAAACCACATATTAGGACACAGGCAAAGTATCTTCAAATTCAAGAAAGTAGAAATCATATCAAGCATCTTCTCAGATCACAATGGCATAAAATCAGAAATCAACTACAATTAAAACAATGAAAAAAAATCAAACACTTGAAGGCTAAATAGCATGCTATTAAACAATGATTGGGTTACCAAAGAGATCAAAGAATAAATAAAAAGCATCCTGGAAACAAATGACAATGAAATCACAACAATCCAAAATCAATGGGACACAGTAAATTCAGTCCTGAGAGGGAAGTTCATAGCACTACAGGCCTACCTCCAAAAACAAGAAAAACTTGTAATAAATTATCTAACCCTACAAATTAAAGAATTAGAAAAAGAGCAACAAGAGAAGCCCAGAGTAAGCA